TTAATAAATAAGCAGTACAATTTTGGTATGATATTTCACAGTATTACGCAATAGTGATATTTTACTAGAAAATTGATCTCCGATAATAGATCTAGTAAAATATTAATATGCAGTATCACGGGCGAACAATTAGTAAACGAGGAATATATACGTATACGTACCGGATTTTACTTATTTGCGCGAGTAACACAAACCAAAAAAGGAAATCAAATTTTGTAAATAAACTAAATGCGTAAAAAAAAGATCTTTTTTCTTTTTTCGCGCGTGTTCGGAATTCATATCGGGCTGATCCGGAATAATCAAAATTGTGCTCTCCGATTGGCCATTTCCTTTTTAGGGGATTGTATTACTCGCGCAAATAAGTGTTCCCCATAGGAAGACATTCGTATGATTGGCTGTATAAATCAATTTAATTTTACATTATTTATACAGTTTAAAGTACTTTTTAAAAAAACTAAAACTACGAAGAATCAACAAAAAAGAAGTATATAGAAAATTTTATTAGGGTTGTAGGACTCCAGTATTAAAAATAATCAAAGTCATTTCTGGTTTTAGAGAAGTTAGCATAATAGCGACTTCTTAAAGATAGATAGAATTAGGTTATTACCATGCTAACTTCTCTAAAACCAGAAATGATTTTGATTATTTTTAATACTGGAGTCCTACAACCCTAATAAAACTTTCTATATACTTCTTTTTAGTTTATTCTTCGTAGTTTGATTTTTTTTAGAAAGTACTTTAAACTGTATAAATAATGTAAAATTAAATTGATTTATACAGCCAATCATACGAATGTCTTCCTATGGAAGTGTTCCAGGATTTATGAAAATAGCTGTAAACCGGTTTATGAAAGCCCGGCCCGACACGGCACAACCCGCCCGATTCCGGACCCACTAAACAAAACAAGAACCTGATATATCAGAATCATTCACACGTTCATCATCCCTAGAAGAAACACATGAAACGAAAAAGTATTGATGATATCTTTGTTATTCAGTATATTCTTCTCTAGAGTTAGTGTTCATCAAAGATTTCTTTGGATCACTCCGACATTCCGATCGGATAATTCGGACCCGAGCACCGGTTCATGTTTACATTTTAATTATTCAATAAACTATTGTGAACGGTACTCGGGTTTGTTTTGGTCCGATCGGAAATGTCGGCGGAAATGACGGTGGGTGATTTTCAACGCAAAGACCACATTTCTCATGTTATAAGGAATCTTAATCATCCAATGAAGTCTTGTATTCAGGTGATTTTTCGTTGTTTCACATATTTTTTTAAGGGTTTTTTTACGCAATTATCTACAAGCATGGAATATATTATAACACTTTTTCTTTATTTTTCATAGGTATATGGGACCTTTGCTAGGAAAATGACCCTCCGAGGCTATGTTGATTTTGTGAATAAAAATTAAATTTGCCGACTAATTTGAATGAACTTTTTTTTTTATTTTGTGGAGCTAAACAAGCTTACAAAAAAAAAAAAAAAAAGATCATTCGAATTAGATGACTAGATAATTTGCAAATTTAATTTTTATTCACAAAATCAACATAGCCTCGGAGGGTCATTTTCTTAGCAAAGATCCTTGCTTAAAGCGCTGTGGAACTTTTTTGTGAGCCAACTAAGTATTAGTCCATTTCAGAATATTTCTTTCTTTATGGCATGTATGTCGCGCCTGAAGTTGCACTTGGAATTAGAACTTGTACGCATTATTTAGTAATTTTGGTCAGGTGTAACTTCAAATGACTGAAGTTATAAGGCACTGTTACCTTGCGTTCCACGGAAATTGTAAATTTTGACCAATCAAAATTTTAGATCAGGGTAACGTGGTAGTCAAACGTGTTTGTTTTCTAAAAAATGGCTAAAAAAAAACTCGTTATAGTTAAGGTTAGGACTTGAATAATGTGACATCTTTTAGTAAAATTTTACAAGGAACATTTTTAATTTGGCTGCAGAAGATGGTTTCTAATTAAAATTTAGAGCTATTCTTGTTTTTTTTTTTTTGTAAAAAGGTGGTTTCGTTTCAATTTTTACATTACACCTGATCCTGAAGGAGTGAAACAATTTTTTGTGGGAGAGCTAGGGACGTCCAATAATAATAAGTTATTGGGCAGATAAACTGCTGGATAAAGATCAAATATTACTTGTGGAACCTTTCAACATCATGTATTTTACGCAATCTACCCGTTGAAATTATCACTAATAAAATAATTTCAAACCAAGGAAACTAAATCCTTGTTAAACATCAATACAAGATTTTTAAACTTAAAAGTAGGATGTTATTTTACAAAGCTCAAATTTTAATGTCGATTTTATACTATATAATTTTGCAATAATTACATTGGACTCAAATCCGCTCATATCCATTTTGGGATCGAACCAGGACCGTAAATATTGCTTTCATTAATTTTGGGCAAATGAAAAATTGCCCAAGACTGAACAATAAGTTTTCTGATTTCAACCGACACCGATGACTTATTGATTCCAAATCCATAATTTATCAATTCGGTCAGCGAAAAATTCTGTGAAAATCAGTCTTCATAAGAACCTGGACGGATCGATGAATCTTACAAATAATATATACCACTATCTCCATGCGATGAATGTAAGTACATTTAATTTGATGGTAGAAATTACCGCATGGATACGAATAGTAACATGTGAACTCACATGTTAATAGTAGAATACATGAAATAACTTAGCATCAAATAATTCAACCGCAAATTACGACAAGGTTGCATCTATCGATATATCAAATATATTATACGTATATGTTAAGATACATACCAATACGGGTAACTCATTTTATCGCTATTATAAAATTCGACTTGTTATAACGCAGTACGTATAATATTATGAAAGTTTACCATTGTAGCTAGGAAAAATTAAAATTTTGTCCATTTCCCGAAATCCTTTCGGTTTCGCCCTGAATTATCTAACTCTCCGAAAATTACATTACTATCTTCGAAGAACTATGTGATTCTTAAGACGAAACCGAAAAGATTTCGGGATTCGAACATTTATAAAGAGCTATAATAAACAGAGTATTTCACCCATGACAATCTTCTGCTTATCGATTTACATTCTAAGTATTGTTATGGATTCAATTTGGTTCCGACAACAGATCATTTGCTTAATTTGCTGCAGATTATCTGTGTCAAGGATCCTCTTGCGAATCACTAACACTAAAACCAATACAGAAAAGTCTCCAAAATTCCGGAACGGGATTCATCGGAATCATGATCGGATGGGTTGGAATTAACCAATTTTGCCTAAAATCACTTAAAATTTTTATTGACATTAATTAAAATGATACCAAATACATAATTGATAATTTCGCTATATATGTAACCGGACAGCGATAGTATTGCTTAATGCCTACCCAGCTCCGATGACTCCGTCCGGTGTATATTTATAAGAAATTTATTTTTTATATTATACTCTACTATGATACATTTTATTTGGGGATTGCCATGTAAAAAAAAAAAAAAAAATTTTACCCGTGCTATAATTACTATAGTGCAATTAAAATTTTACGTAATACGATAAAGTCGGATTTTAAATTATCGCTATTAGTTTCATTTGTCTAATATTAATTGGAATTGTTAGCCAATAAAAAATTTCTGAAATTCAATTGTCAGAATTATTGTATCGGTATAGTACGTAAGTAAGTACGCCTGATTTGAACCGACTTATCCTATTTTTAGACCTTAGAATTATTATAAAAAGGTCGTCTTTTTCTTCATGTTACAGTAATATTAAATACTACACGATGTTTAAATCTAGTAAATATCCGGACATTGAAATTCCCAGTGTAGGAGTTTATCAATATGTAATCAGTAATCCAAATAATGTTTCAGACAATAAAGCCATATTTATTGATGGGATTACCGACGAAAGGGTCACTTTTGGTGAACTAAAGAGAGATTCGAAAAGGTTCGCGGCCGGATTACAAGATATAATTGGATTTAAACGTCATGATGTGTTGGGAATCTTCTCTCCTAATCAAGTATAATTTCATTTTATCGTTATCGTTATTTAATGTTTCAATTCAATTGAACAATGAATTTTGGTGTAGATTAATTGTCCCATAGTTGTTTTTGGAACGTTAGCAGCCGGTAAGTTGGTTACATTTTATGTTGTATGTCAAATATCATATGAAGATTATGATTTAAAATTTTTATTAATGACATTTAGGTGGCACCGTAACAGCAGCCAATCCAAAGTATACGGCACGCGAATTCGCATCTCAGTTGATCGATTCAGGTGCTTCCGTTATAATTGTGCATCCTAAATTTCTTGACACCGCTATTAAAGCTGCCAAAGATGCTAGAATTCCTGAATCAAGGATTTTTTTATTTGGCAATAGAGAAGTTCGCGGATTTCAATCTTATAATTCACTTATTGGTGATCGTGAAGCAGAACCTGTTTCATATTCGCCGGATGAAGCTAGGAACACAACTGCATTTCTGTGCTATAGCTCTGGAACCACTGGCAAACAAAAAGGCGTTGAAATTACACATACCAATATTATAGCTAATATGGCACAGATTTTATCTTCAGGTTATTTCAAAACTAGTAATATCTTCACAGGAGCATTGGTAAATTTTCATCCCTAATGTTTACTACTTAAAAAAAGATAGTTGTCAACTATTATTTTTCTTTTCTGCAGCCATTTTTCCATATCTACGGATTGACTTTTGTCATTCTTCTAGTTCCACGTTCGGTAAGTATGTAATGGTGAAGGAAAATTATTTATTAATCAATTCACTTACATAATATCAATCACTTTAAAGGGTGCTTCCGCGATCGTCCTTCCTGAATTCAATTTGGCGACATTTTGTCGTTGCATTCAAAAATATAAAGTCAACTTTGTTTACACAGTTCCACCGATCATACTTGCATTAGTTAGATTCCCCTCGGTTGAAAGTTTGTCAAGTGTGGAGATAATATTTTCTGGTGCAGCTCCCTTAAGTGACGGATTAATCGATGATTTTTATAATCTTTATAAAATACCAATTAGACAAGGATACGGTAAGACTGTCAGTGCTTATTCTTTCCCATTTTTACACAATATCAAATTTAAAATTTATTATTGATTTTATTAAGGACTTACTGAAACGTCCGCGTTATTAACGATATGTGAGAAAGACAACATTGTCTTAGGTATTAAGTTTATAATTAATTGTAATTTATATTAATGTTACTTAAAAGCGACTTACATAAAGTTTCTATAAATAGGTTCTTCTGGAGTTCTTCTTCCAAACATAGAAGCTAAACTACTATCAGATGATGGGCGGGGTATAGTCAATATTATTAAACATTTATATTTTAACTAATTAATTAATTAATTATTATTTAATATTCCAGAATTAGGATACAATGAACCAGGCGAATTATGTGTTCGTGGACCAAATATAGTGAAAGTAATGTCAAAAATAAACTTTTGATATCATTCAATTTTAAAGTCTTAACAGTTTTTGTAAACATTAAATTAGGGATACCTTAATAATAAAGAAGCAACAAATGCGGCAATTGATGGTGATGGATTTTTCCATACTGGAGACATTGTTGTTATTGATCGTCAAGGTGATTTTTTTGAAATTTTTATATATGTATACTTTTGTTTATTTATTTTCATGATAAATTATTATTTTTTTTTTTTTTTTGAAATCAGGGAATTGTTTTATTGTGGACCGTGTCAAAGAATTAATTAAATTCAAGGTTTTATAAAGTTTAAGGATCTCTTGCAATATAAGTGATACTATTCTTTAATACAGATGACATTCGTTAATACCAACTTCGTTAATATCAACTTCGTTAATATCAACCTAAACTTGTAAAAGATTGAGTTCAGATATCAACTCATATATCAACTCATATATCAACATAGATGTCTAATCCAAATGGGTTGATATCAACGGGGTCACCTATAATACATTTTATTTAATAGTATCATATATATGCATGCTAGCAATATTATAATATGCTAATTCTTTAAATAATTTTATAAGGGATTTCAAGTTGCTCCAGCTGAGCTCGAATCAATTCTACTATCACATCCGGCAGTATTGGATGCAGCCGTGATACCATATTTTTCTGAAAAGGAATTAACTGAATATCCAACTGCTTGCGTTGTTCTTAAAGCTAAATACGAAAAAACTCTCAAGCTGGCAAAAGAAATACAAAAATTTGTAGATGATAATGTATCACCACACAAAAAATTAAGAGGTGGTGTGTTATTCACTGATTCCATACCAAAGAGCGATTCAGGCAAAATTTTGAGAAGAGTTTTAAAGGAGAAATTAAAAAAGGGTGATATTATGTTTATTCAGCAAAGCTTTCTTTAGGGCGAATACCATTTAATTTATATGAATATTGATGCAGTGCATCTGATTCGCTGATCAATCACTTAATATTTCTGTATTTAGTTATCTCCCCCCCTAAATTTTTTTTATCAATACTATTTTATTATCTGGCTTAACGTTAAAGACATAACAAATAAAATGATTCGACATATTTACTATATTCGAAAAAGTCTAGTAAAAATAAATATTACAAGTTTTGACCGTTATTTAGCGACTTCCAAAAGTCGTAAACCTTTGCCACCAAAGAAGAATCGTTCAGATTCAAGAGATTGGTTTGAGAAATGGTTAGTAGGGTTTACCGATGGCGCTGGCTCATTTGTCCTAAAAAGCGTTGGTTCTCATTTGACTTTATCTTTTGAGATAACGCAAAATGCTCGAAATTTAAGAATTCTTCATTATATACGTCGAGAAATTGGTTGTGGTAAAATTTATTCCCACGCTGATGAATCAAAACTAAGAATAATAAATAATAAACATTTAA